GTGTTTCTTTTATAATCCAAAAGATGGTTTGTCAGCACAGTGACACAGCCCACAGTGTTGGCTGGTAGCTGATTCAGTGGGGAGAAAAACTGCCTAATGTTTGGTTGGCAGGAAATAGTCTTGGCCATGCAGCAGCTGCTCCTTAAAAATATCAGCAGAATCCTGAACTTGTTTGACCCTGATTAAACTTATGGTACCTTGGATTTAACATCAGAAAACAGGAAAGCTTCAGGCTAAAGGTGCTTACAGCATGTTTTACTGACTATCAGTGTGAACTCTGTTCATCTTTGTTTCTCTTTGTGAATAGTAAACCTTTTGATAAATACAGGGGTTCTGGAAAGGAGAGGAAATCCTGACAAACAGTSCCTGTGCTAGCGGGGGAGGGCTGCAGCTTTGCTGATAAAATGCTGTTCAAATGGGAACTTTAAAATTACTTGGCAGGTTTAACGGAACACAAATAGTGCCTTTAGGGAGAAAAGCTTCCTTTACTCCATGTTGTGGACAGAGGAGCGTTTTCTAACTTGGCTGTAGGTGTGGAGTGTGGCTGCACTGAAAATCTCTTGGTCAAGGTTGAATGGGAGAGTCTCCAAAGGCTGCAGTGGTTTTTCTGCTGCTACAGGATGAGCAGTTTTGGGGAGGAGATGGGGATGGAAACATGGGGTGCATCTCTTGCCTGTAGGGGACTGGCCAGGAGCACATATTCATTGTTTGCCTGGTGCCTGTCTGACAGCAAGAACAGAACATCAAACCCCAGTTCTTTGCCTTCCGCTGGCTGACGTTGCTCTTGTCCCAAGAGTTCCTGCTGCCAGATGTCATCCGGATCTGGGACTCTCTCTTTGCTGATGACAAGCGCTTCGATTTCCTCCTGCTCGTCTGTTGTGCCATGCTGACGTAAGTACACCCATAGCCTTCCTGTTCTTCTCTTCCATAGATCCAGAAGTCTTCTGTAGGCTTGTGCTTGGGCATCTGGTGAATAGGTTGTAGGTTTTAAAGTCCCTTTGTAAAGAGTCAAAATYAGCTGGAATAATTTTCATCTTTCAGACTCATCCGGGATCAGTTGCTGGAAGGAGACTTCACTCTGAACATGAGGCTGCTACAGGTACGAATTAAATAAGAGTGGGTGCAGGGAGCAATTGGAAAAGYCTTAAAATAGTAGTGTGAGAGAAGATGGCAGTATGTGAGAGGGTGGGAGGCTATGCCTGGTTCATGACAAGTACCATATTTGTGATGTTTGCATGTAGAAAATCTGCAGGGATCTTACAGCACTCTCATTACAGGGAGTCTTTTGTGTGTGCACTCTTTCTAGCCTACAGAGAAATTTTCATAGATTGGAGGTTTCTAATGTTCTTTGGTTTGCAAAAAAAATGGAATAATTTCAAGCAAAGATGTGAAACCTTATGTAGCACTGTTACATTTTTTTTGCCAGAGGGTTCTGTTTAGTTCTGAGATCTGTGAGAGCCTGAGGTTGGAAACGCCTGCACTGCACAGTYGGATATCTCAGGTTCTGCCAATTCCTGCTTTGGGCTGTGCAAGATACTGGCTTTGATAAGGCTTTCTGGCATGAGGAGATCCCTGTGGCAGGCCAACTTACTGTGCCCTTGGAGGACAAAATGAAAAAAAAATAAACCTTGAACGGTATTGAGGTTTGATCAGTTACAAAACAGGAAACRGTAGCTGTTAAAGGAGTAACTGAACATGGCAGTGTGTTATAATAGGCCAAGAATGTTATTGTCACGGTTTGCCCTGCTTACRCCAAACAATCTGTATAAAGAATGTTGGGAAGTCACTGAAATCCCTTGGTTTCTCTGCCATAGGATTATCCTATCTCTGATGTTCATCTGATTTTGAAGAAGGCAAAGGAACTTCAAGATTCCAAATAGTCTGTGGGTCTAACAAAAGATGTCAGAGAACTGTGTGGCAGTAAATCCCAGGAGGTGCCTCCATGCATTGTGGTGCACTAAAGCTCCTACTGCAGGACTTTGGGTTTTGTTTGGGCTACTGTCCACCTTGAAGACTTCCTTCTACTCTATTTATTAGGTCAAGGACTGATTATTCYCCATCTACTTGGGTCCTGCACTCCAGATTTTTCCACATCTCAAATGCCTCTTTGCTGCCAAAAGCAGTACTTTGTATCTTTTTTAAATAACTTTGAGTTTGGGGAGAAAGAAACCTTCTGTCTGCGTGTCCCTGAASGGATGGACTTCTGTATCATGGAAGTAACACACAGACTAACTTCTGACAGGGAAAGGACAGACTTAAGTCCAGTGAATTTTTGGTGGGTGAGGATAGAAGGATCTTCCTCCTGTGAACAGAATGTATTACAGTGAAGTCACACATTCTGCCATTCAAGTAGTTTCTGGATTCTCTTTCCTCATGTCTGCACTCGGCCATCCCTGAGGCGTGTGATGAAGGTTGCATCAGTTTTTGGTGAAGATCACCGGGCAGTTTGCACTCCTTTGACTGGGAAAGAGACTTGGGAAGCTGAGAGGGGAGGACATGGTGACAGCTGGTGGCTTTGTGCACTCAAACTGCCTGAATCCAGAACCGCCTTATCAATGAGGTCTCTTTGAAAGCAAGACTGTGGTGGTTTTAATCCCCCAGTGAAGTGTAGTTCCAAGTCAAGCCTTACCATGCACAGCCTTAGAGAAGGATTGTTGCTGCAGCAAGGCCTCACGCTGCTTTCCTGGCTCTGAACTGGAGCATATCCAGCTACAATCAGAATTCTGAAACACAAGAAATGGACACCTTATCATGTGCAATGAAGACAGATGTATTTAGGGGGTTATACAGRCACAGAACTGGAGTTTTCTGCCTCAGTGGCTTAAATAATACTACCATGTATTAAGGTCTGGTCACAGTAACCTTGCTATTGTCTCACTGTGCTTCTTGCCAGGAAGAGACAGTTCTGATCTGCAGTGAGAGTCCTTTTCTAGCACAATCCAGCAGGCATCCAAGCATCTGTCATGATCTGCTGGGGCTGATCTGCTGTTCTGTCCTGGTCCTGTTGGAATTATAGTTCTGAGCTGGACACTTGTTCCTCCTGAGAGGGAAACTGCTGCACYTCAGATACGGTCGAGTGGGCTCAGGTGAACAGGCACTGAGACAAACCATAGGGAGAACTGCTGACCTGCCWCAATGTTGAGCTGAGCAGAAATCCTAATCCTCAGAGGGAGAAACTGCCAGCACCCAGGTGCTTGTGTGCTGCAGAAGCTGTTAAATGAACACTAATCCAACGTGCTTTTCCCTCTCTTTTGTGCTGTGCTGGCTCACCTCTGCTGTTGGACGCTGCAGTTTTTGGTATTTATGGGTGTTGATTTGTTAAAGGTCAGTCAGTCTTTGTAAGATCTGCTTAAGCTGCTGCTGGCCTAGACTTGCCCTAGCAKGAGGGATGCTGGCAGCCTTCAGCTKTTTTCTACTGGTGTTATTTCCTTCACTGAAGGCCTTCAYGGGCTGCTGTAATTCTCACCAAGGTTCATGGGGTGAGGATGGCAGGACAGGTTGGTGCRTGTACCCATTGGCAATCCCAAGCAATCTCTGCCTCTTGAGAAGATGCTCGAGTACCACTTGTGCAGCCACGTGTTGCTGCTGTGTTGCAAGAGCAGTTGAAGATTTAAAGCAATCCTTAATTAATACCTGTGGCAACAGTATCCCTCTCTGCTGCTTCCCTGCAGTCTTTCCTTGAGGGTATAGTTTTCTTCCAAGAAAAATGGAACGGGTAGACCAGGACAGCTGTGTGATGAAGCACCCTGGCTGCTCYAGCCACTGGATGGATGTTGTTTCTGAGCTGTTCCAGGTGGTTTTCATGGTCTCAGCTCCTGGGTACCTGCACTAGAGAGGCTGTTRGCCAGAGCTCGTGTGGTCAAACAGCCACCTGCGAGGTTCTCTGCAAACGTAGAACCAGAGGGACACACTCTTAGGCAGAATTGTATCTGCTYCAAACACTTCTGCCTCAGAACTGCTATAAATACTGCTGTAGCTTTCCCATTCCATGCACAAACTCTGCTCTCATCTCCCTGAATACCTGTGCTGGGCTGTTCATTCTGGATTCCCCTGGCAAGYGCAGGGTTTCCATATGCTGGAGTTTTTCACTGGTAATGGGAGCATCCATGGGTGTTTTTGCTCTGAGCAGCTGAAAGTCTCCTTAAAGTAACCAGAGGAAGCAGCAGGCAAATCAGGATGAAAGCATTAYTTGGAGATGAACTTCTGCACATTTTCAGCTTTGGGCTCTGAGGGTGACCTCCTGCTTGGGGAAGGCACGGGGGAGGTGGCAGTACAGATGTCATGCTGTCTGCTCCCTTCCTATGTGTCCAAGGGCTCATGTCACCTTCATGACATGAAGTGACAGTGAATGCTTTTGAAAGGAGTTTGCAGTGGTTTAAAAGGATGCATGAGAGATTTGGCTGCTGGAAAGGATCTCTAGGATAAATTCCATAGCCTTGTTCAAACTATGGCTGCAGAACCTATTGAATTCTTCGGGGAGAGTTCACAGCAACTTCAAAACATCCAGGCAGGCTGTTTTGCACATGRAAAGCTGTTTTATATTCCTGCTTATTTCCTTCCTGTGTGGTAGAACTTCTGTGTTGCTGTTGAAAGGAGTGGTATTTTTCATTGTGTTGGGACATCCATTTCTTTATTCCAAGACTTTCTCCTTTCTTTAAGAGCAAAACCAGATTTTCTGTGGGGACAAAAGAAGTCTAAATATTTTACCAGCTCTTGAATTTCCTCATRTTTCCCTTGGCTTCATTCCTCAAAGGCGTTTGGTGATTTATTTTTGTTGTTGAAGTGAGATGATACTTAACTGGTGTTTCCTTGCTTATGTGGCCAAGTAACACCTGCTCCAGCCTTGAGATGTTTCCACTTCTGSTTTCTTATAATCCTGACCTGCTGCAGGAGCAGTGAGGTTGTCTGAAAGAGCTGATCTTTGGGGTGGGAGGTGTTAGTCTGGGATTCCTTGGGGACCCATTATCTCGCAGGAACCTGAACAGAGGATGTCTAAATAGGTCTTACTGTTCCTCACAGGCAGCCAGGCAGGGGAAAGGGAAATCACCTTCAGCTGGGAGGGAAAACAGGACACTCCTGGATGTGGGAAGASATGAGCTTTCCCTCGGAAGGAGAGCTCTGCTCTACCTGCACCTCCCTGGAGATCAAGCTTTGGAGAACTTAGTGGCTTTGCCAGTGAGTTAGACCAAGCTGTTGGTGGTGATCCCAGCAGACTGATTTTGAGTTTGAATTTTGTGACCTAACCTAGAATTATTCACACTTTGGCATTGAATAGAATGAAGGCCAGAAGTTCTGGGGGGAGTCTGGTGTGTCTGGGAATCAGAGGCTGTTTTGTTGTAGCTGTTTAAAGCACTGTTCTRAAATGGCCCTTGCCCAAAGAAAGGAGCAGATAACACTTGTTTTGGGAAGAATTGCCAAAAAACGGTGTAGTTGAACATTTCATCACTCTAAAACTCTTTCTTTTATGCTTCCTTTTTTAAGCACTATTTTTACAACGTTTCCTTTAACTAACTGGTGTCTGTGCAAACCTCTCCTGTTGATGTGACTCGGAGTTGGGGCTGCTCCAGGTTCCAGCTGGAGGGGTCCGTAGGTGTGAGAGCAGCACAGCGAGCTGCAGAGAGCCCTGGAGAACCAGCCTGGCTCCTCCACCGCCATCTCCTTCCCKCGATGGTTTTGCTTTCGCTTCCCCAGATGCGGGAGCGGTGCCTTTTTTTCCGGGAATACCTCGCACAAGGTGCCACCTCGCCTGCGGGCGCTCTGGATGGCGGTGGGAGCCCGGGTACCCCCTCCTCGCTGACCGCTCTGCCTTTCTGCCCATTCCCGAGCCACTCTCAGCCTCGGGGCCGCTCCCGCCCCGCTGTTTCTCACAAAAGCGGATCCCGCTCCCGGCGTGTCCCGGGATCGCGCTGTCCGCTCCGATCGCCCTGCGTGCGCTCTCCTTAAAGCGGCGATGCCGCCGGAGCAGCGCGCCCGCCTGGGGCGCAGCCGCAGCCCGTTTAAGGCCGCGCCAGCCCCACAGTGACACGGCCATGCTGCGGGCCCGGTGGCCGCTGCCGCTGGTGGTGGGCGCGGGGCTGGGGGCGGCCCTGGCCCCCCGGGACCGCCGGCAGCACCGGGAACACCGGGAGCGGGGCGATGCGGCCGAAGGGCTGCTGGCCCGCCTGCCCGTGCTGCCCGCCGTGGCAGCGGCCGGCCTGCCCGCGCCGCCGGGCTCGGGGCGCACCGAGCTGAGCAAGTACGGGCTGCCCGKGCTGGCGCAGCTGCGGAGCCGCGAGTCCTACGTGCTGTGCTACGACCCGCGGAGCCGCAGCGCGCTCTGGGTCATCGAGCAGCTCAACCGGGACACGCTCAGCGGCGCCTCGGACCGCGCCGCCTGCGACTTCCAGGAGGACGATTCGGTGCACGAATATCACCGCGCCACCAACGCCGACTACCGCGGCAGCGGCTTCGACCGCGGGCACCTGGCCGCCGCCGCCAACCACAAGTGGAGCCAGAAAGCCATGCGGGACACCTTCTAYCTGAGCAACATCGCCCCGCAGGTACGGCCTGGTGCCTGCAGGGATGGCCGGAGCTGCCCGCGTTCAAGGGCAGACGCTGTTCCCTGCGGGAAATCACACCCCAGTGTCGCTGTGTTTGTGCCTGCAGCAGCTCAGACAGAGAGGGGTCAAAGTCATTCGGAGATGCCGTATTTCCTGCTAAATTTAACATCAGGGATCCTGCAAACGCACCTGCCTTTGTGTGCCTCTCAAGCCATGAAAGAGAGACCCCATTCAGTGCAGCTCCTGTCAGGAGTAAAGTTAAACAGGTGGACAAACACTTGCAAAAAATTGTGGTCTTAGGCAATGGGGTCTGTCCTGGGTGTGCAAACYAGGACATCACAGCTCCCAAAACAGAGATGATAGTGGGATCTCGAATGGAAAGTGCTTGGGGCACTGTGAGATTTGTYACAGAAAAGGCAGGTGGTGGTTCTCTGAGCAGTGAGGAAATATTGCAGTGACTGACTACTGGTTATGTTTCTAGAATCCTCATTTAAACCAGAATGCCTGGAATAACCTCGAGAARTACTGCAGAAGCTTGGCAAAGCACAACAGGAATGTCTACGTCTGCACAGGACCCCTCTTCCTACCCAGGTAAACACGAGGGCTGAGCAGGGATGGCACCCAAAGGATGCATTGTGCTGGCAAAGGAAAACAGGCTGAGGTGCTCCAAGACACAGGGATCTGCTAAGGCCCCTCTCRGTAGATGAGACAAGCTGTGCACAGAGATTCTGTGGTACTTTCTTAGGATTAGTTTATGTATTTTCCATTYAGATGATTATTTAATGAGTAAAGGTGGGTTTCTTGTGCTACAGTGGAACCAATTTGCTTCTGTTTGGAGACCTTAACAATTTAGTAGATTACCAGATTAGACTGCAGACCCCATCYCTGCAGAATAAAGCTTTCAGGTTCTATTTCATGGATTACTTCTCTACTTAAAGACACTTTATTTTCAAAGATCTCCATGTAGCATTAAAGAGCAACTGGCTCATGTTGAGAGCTCTCAGCAGCAGGAAATAGCTTGGAAAGTCTGTTAGAGACAGCAGGGAGGGGATTTGGGAGCAGCCCTAAAGCAASGCTCACCCTTGCTGTGCCACACAGCCTGTGGCCCAATGGTTTAGAGCCCTGCTCCAGGAGCAGAGCTGCTGCCTGCTGTGGGTGGGGGCTCTCTTAGGGGTGTTGGAGGACTTAGGGGGTGGATGTGGTACCAAACTAGGAGATAACATGGGATGTTGCTGTTGGTGCAGGATGGAGGCCGATGGCAAGATGTATGTCAARTACCAGGTGATTGGGAAGAACAACGTGGCCGTCCCCACCCATTTCTTCAAGGTGCTCATCTTGGAAAAGGAGAGTGGGGAGATTGAGCTGCGCTCCTATGTGATGCCYAACAGCCCTGTGGATGATAAAATCCCCTTGGAACGGTTCCTGGTTCCCATYGAGAGCATTGAACGAGCCTCGGGGCTCCTCTTTGTCCCAAACATCCTCAAGAGAACRAGTAACTTGAAAGCCATCACAGCTGGAAAGCACTGAACCCTCACTAGACAAATCCAGGTAACCCCTGGCAAGGGACTGACAGTCACCTGCACAATAATCCTGGTGCAGTTGYAAATGTGGGAAGCAAAAATCAAACCTGAGCTTCTGTCTGCCCTTCCTGTTTTGTTTAACTAAACACAGACACACAACAGGTCTCCAGGGGTGTCCTGCAGGAGGCTCAGCAGCACCTGACACCTTAGCAGCTCTCCAGGATTTGCCCCTAATTCACTTCTGCCTTGGAGTTGTGTGAGGCTCATTAAGGCACAAAGGGAAGTCATTAATTGTTCCTGTTCAGCAGGGTAGAAGGGGAGCGAGATGGGTGCCAAGGGAGGGGAGGAGAAGTTCCTGTCTCCTTGTGGCTAAAGAATTGTATGATTGTTTTCTTTCAGAAGATGGTTTTAGCAGTAAAGCTTTGAACACCCAYGGTATTGGTTGTTTCTTATCTGCTCTCACCAAAGCTCTGARTATCTCAGCAGGAGGAGGGGAGGATGGAGCCAACTTTTCCAGCTGCTTTCCTGTCTGAYCTCACTGTAGGCAGAGCTTAAGCCATCACAGATGGAACCAAACTGTAATGAGATGATGTGTTTTGGTGCTGAGGCCYAGCTGAAGCTCCAGCCCTTCCTGCTGTTGGGAAGGATGAAACCTTGAAGGGGGGCTGGGGGAAGTYAGGCTGAGGCACCACAGGGATGAAGTTCTGACTTTGTTTCCGTCTGAAGGCCATATCATTCCAGAGGCACTGAGTATGCCTACACCAAGACACACCTGGATTTCACAGCAACTGAGGTTCCATACTGCTTTATTCCCACCCCAGATGTCCAAGTTGCTGAGACTCAGTCTGCTGCCAGGCTTGTCCCAGCTGCTGAGAGGCAGTAACCAACCCTTGGCTGGGCCACACAGGCASGAGGGCACAGACCTGCTGCTCCCAGCAGCAGCGAATGCCTGGTTGGGCAATGCTGCCAGTTTCAGTCACATCATGTCTTGGTTCTGCTGGGCACCTGGAGTGACTTGCCCAGCATTCCAGGTTTAAAGAACCACATCCTCAAGGACAAGGTCGGCAGTTTCTCTCCCATCAGCTGTCTCTGGGTGTCTTCACAGCTTTGTCAATGTGGGGTCTCAGTGCAGACAGAGAGATCAGCAGGGCTTCCTGCAACAGAGCCAGGCCAGTCAGAGCCACTGCTCCCAGCTCAGTGGGTGGGTCAGTGCCCCAGGCAGACACCCAGCACTGCCCTGTGCCATCAGCCACCACCTACCTCCGTCCGGATGGTTCTGCTGCCTTGGCTGGGACATGTGTTCAGGTAGAAGTCAAACAAGACACTTGGGTCGGTGACCTCCAGGTTTGGGTCCACATCAATCCCAGCTTCCAAGCCCTCGAGGCCTCCAAACACGACAAGTGCATGCCTGGAGAGAGCACAAGGACAGGGGTGAGATGGCAGATTGTCTAGGTCGGTGTCCAAGCCCCTGTGTGCTGCTGAAACAGGGACCACCCTTGCTGATGGTCCCCACTGCARCTGTCTCCACCAAAGCCCCACACCACTTAGCCAATGTGACAGGCACTGCTTCCAGCTCCAAAGAAAAGAATTTGACTTTTCTTGGGATATTTCCCCTGCTCTGCTGCCTGCACTATCCTCACAGGGAGCTCTGAGTGGGGCCAAGCAGGCAGGACACAAACCTGAAGGAAGGCAGAGTGACTTGGTCCACAGAGCTGCCCCTCTCCGAGGTCCCAATAGAGAGATCGTAGCCTTCCTTGAATGGGCATTCAGAAAAGACAGCACCTGGAAAACAGAGTTTGGGTTAACTGCTGCCATGTCCTCACCCATGCCTTCTGGACAGGCTGAAACATTCCAATGGAGAGTGGTGGCAGCAGAAGGAATTGCTTTCAGTGCCACTACTGCATCAGCAGACAGAATGATTCCTCTTTCCCATGYGGCTCCCTTGGCTGCAGAAGTCTCCCACACCCTTTTCATCAAAGCTCAAGGCAGGTGCCAGGAACCACCCCCTGACAACAGCTTACACTTTTCCTAGGAGGTCCAATCAACCAGAAGACAAGAAAAGAATTTTCCAGGTCTCTTGAACTTAAATGCCACTGCTGGCTCTGAGGTGGAAGAGTGGGATGTAGTTAYGGAAATGGAGAAGAGCACAAACTCATCTCCTGCTGCTTTGCAGCCATTTATTTGSAGCAATGGTGAGTGGAAGTAGAGGGCAGAGTCCTGGAGGGTGACTGGGGTGATTCATGYCTCTCTTCAGCCCTACAATTTGCCTGCCATGTGGCTGCTGACTGCACGTGTAAGCTGCCCTTCAGACAAGGAGATTGCTAGGAAARAGATGTGTGCAGCCAGTAGGCTTGAGATTGCAGTGGAAGAGAAAATCCCTGCAGATACTCACTCAAGCAGGAGGCCAGGCGCACGCTGTAACCCCAGTACAAGCCTGAGACTGTCCGAGGGTGCTGTGAGGACACCACRGTGCCTTTCCACACTTTGGCTTCTGAAAGAAAGGAAAGAGGTTTTATACCCCCTGTGATCTGGTGAGATTTGACCAGTGACACGCAGCAAGCAGTTTCTCCTGGGACAGGGCATTGACTTGGTGTGCACCACAACCCTCCCTTTTTCCAGAATGTGGAAAAGGATTCTAGAAATTCTTAGAGTTCTGGAAAGCATGTGAGTGTGTTTGGGCTGTTTACTGCTGGTCAAAGAGCTGACAGTTCTTTCCAGTTATGGAGGGAGGCAGGGTAAGGGTGTTACTAAATTTGTGTGTGGAGTGAAGGGAACATGCAGAACTATTGGGTACCTGTCATATGGAGGGACCAGCTCCTGCAGGATTGAAGTTTACAGATGCCACTGGAACCATGGATTACCTGCATTCTGGGGCTTTTCCAGGCGCACGGTGACTCGCAGACCAGGGTTCAGCTGTCTGTCAATCTGCACCTCCTGCAGTGACAGTCACCATCAGCACCAGACATTCTGGAAGGACTGGGGAAAGGTGGGGAAGGGAATCTTTTGAGGAARTGGGGATCTGTTCTGGCYTGGAGCTGAAATGATGAGCTCTGTKTGTGGTTCAGGGGCTTGGTCATCAGTCAGTGATGCAATTAAAGGTTCAGCTGCAGCAGTAAAGCRATGATGTGCTAGAATGGGCAGGGCCTGCCACAGGCTTGGGGAGCCACAAACACTGCCAAGCCAGARGGRACAACAYAGCAACAGCCTTAACCCCYCTGCCARCCCATTATGGCCTTCAGAAACCCARCAGTGCCTACYCTGCCTGCTTCAAATCTGCCAGAGACACAAGGAAAATTGTTATGGGATCTGTGGGTATCAGACACACCTTCTTCATCCCACAGTTAACAAAAGAGCCTTTGCCTGGCTTCGTGGGCCGGTCCAGTACGATGCCCTCCCGGTACTCTGAGGCCTCATCSATCCGCATGTGGTGGGGGCTGTCCAGGGGATTGAGCAGCCCTAGAACAGCACAGAGCAAAGAGCCTCTGAGGGGAGGACACACATGTAAGAGCAGCTTCTCCCCTCTCAGGTCCAGCACATCACACCAGCACAGTGAACCAGGGAAAAGTTACTCAGTTCTGTGTGTCCCACACAAAATGAGCCAGAGCTCAGGAAGARCAAAGACAAATGGATCTTACCTGCAAACTGCAGATCCTCATGTTTTGGAAAAAAGGATTTCCGCAAGTACCTGTCACCAGAGAAAGGTGAAATGTGAAAAGGTATTTTTATGGAATCTGTATTCAAATCTAGTCCTGTTCTGACTCAAGGGAGCTGAAGTACAGAGAAAAGCACTTACTGAGGGCACTCCAAGTACTGCAGGATMCGAGCCAGCTGCACACAAGCCTTGCCTTTCCTCCCAATTCCTTCAAAAACCCCCTCCACGCTCCTGAAAGTGAAAGCAAGCAGCTTCAGAACTCAGCATAAGATTGGTCAGATCTCTAGAAGACCAAATCTTGCCCTTTAATCTGAATATAGGAGCACACCCCTCCCCTCTAAGCCTTGTAAAATGGCTACTCAAGAGACAATCTATTAACAAATCATCCTTGGAATTCTCTCCATAAGACAAATATCTTTTTCAGTTTTGTTTTTTAATCTTTATGTATTAATGTGACAGGGCAGTTGGATGCTGCTGAGCTGGATGCGCCAGGATTGCATGGCTTGGCCAGTTAACTCAGACACAGGTCCGAATGAAAAACTAAAGGATAGGAAAACATCTTCTGTAAGGACACAGGCATGTGCTGTCCCTCCACAGCAAGGTGTAAGAGTACAGAAAAACTGCTTCACCATCCTCACGGCAATCTAAGCATGTTCTCCTTCAGTCTCCTCCTTACTTCACATCCTCCCCGTGCTCATCGAACACCACGATCTCATCCACGCAGAAGATGGCGCAGGCGCGGGCGATCTGTCCCGCCAGGTACGTGCGCAGCTCCAGCGACTGCGCRTTGTTCAGGATGGAGCCGGGCAGGGCCACGCTCAGCGTGTGCTGACGACCTGGGGAGCAGAGACACATGAGAGCCATGGCCTGATGTACAGCATCACATTTACTGCTTCAAGCTGCACTTGTGGTGGAGGAAAAGCGACCTCTGTTTCGTACATTTAAGCACATATTTTCTCTTAAGAAAGGTCTCTCGTGCAGTGGTTGCTGCATCATATTTGGGCATGTGGACTGATCCATATCGGATCTATAAAGTAATGCCTTTACTTTATCGATAGGGAACACTGATKGCCTTCTAACAGCCAGGTTTTCCCAGCACTTTCCASCCAGGTCTCCCCACAGGGTCACAGRGGCATCACCTCTGTCCTCCTTCTGTTCCTCCTGCTTCTGGGCTTGTTGTTGYTCTTCCAGCTCCCGCATCCGCTGTTTCTCCAGTTTCTTCAGCAGCTTCATTTCCTTCCATTTCTTCTTCTCTGCTTTCCCTGGTACGGAAGACAGAGTCTGGCATTTAAACACCACTCCGAGCGGCCCCAGCCCCCGCTTGTGCCCGGCCTGCCTTACTCTCCTGTTTCCAGCGCCGCCAGTCCACCTTCCTGTCCTCAACCTGCGGGGAACATC